GTTCCCCCCAGGACGTCCCCTGCTGCAGAGGCCCTGCCCTCCCCCCATTTCTGACCTCTTGATCTCTATTTCTCGGTTGGGTCCTTCCACCTTTTCTCTTTTAATGAACAATTTCTCCCTTGGTAATCTCTTTCAGGCCATGAAATGACTCCTAAATGTCTGTCTCTAGACTGGACCTCTCCCTATTTCAGATCAATACACAGAACTATTTTATATATGTACTTGGATGCCTAAAAGGCATCTCAATTAAAACATATCCAAAACCAATATCCTGATATTCCCTCATAAAAGAGCCCTTCTTGATGTTGTGAGCATCTCAGTTAAAGACTAACTCATTCTTCTTGTTACTCAGGGCAAAAAACCTTGGAGCCAATTTGACTCCTGTTTTTGTTTTACACTTTATATGTATTTGTCAGCAATTTCTATCATCTCTTCAAACAAAAATTATCCAGACTTTAACCACTTTTCCTCACTGCTATAGCTATGCCATCCTGGTTCAAGCCACCATAATTCTTTTCTGAACTATCGTAACGGTCTCCTAACTATTGGACCTACTTTGCCCTAACTCTCCCAGAAGTCCATTCTCAACAAACCAGCAGAGCAATATTGTTAATAAGTTGATCAGATGATGTCATTCCTTTGCTTAAAACCCTCTAATGGCCTCCCATCTCAATATAAAACCCAAAGTTTTTACTATAACATGACAGTCCTAAATGATCTCACTAGAGCCATCCCTCCAAGTTCTGACCTTATCTATTCTCTGCCTTGGTCTGTCTCCTCCCACCACAATGCCCTTCTGGTAGTTTCTCCTGCTTTTAGAGCCTTTGCATTTGTTTGCCAGAGTCTGGAATGCTTTTCTATCAGCTCTCCACTGGAAGTCCTCTTCTCAGTAACACCCTCTGGCCGTATGATCTAAAATACCAACATTTCACCCAAACACTTTAAAACTCCTTCACTGCTTTATCTTTTTTCTCCTTAACACTTACCACTATCTTACTTATTTTTGTATTTTACTGACATATTTTACTTATGTCTGTAAACTATTATTTACTACTTATGTATATTACTTATCATATTTACTGTCAAACTAACTAAAATATTAAC